TTCAATAAAAAACATCCTTAAAAAACTCATTCGGGAAGCTCGTCAAATGTAGGCTTAAGCCTTAACTTCCCGGAACAAGGCTTGCGCCTTTTTATGAAAAGGCGTAGAATCAGGCTTAAGGCGTTGGGCGTTCAAGAGGCGTACGCCTCTTATTTGGCGCAACTTTGGGCTTTTAAAATTAGTGGGGGCCTAAATTTGTTTTTTTCATCCTTAAATACGAATTACAGGGGTCGTTAATCACTTAGCCACCGCCCTAGTCCTCCTCGTCTTCCAATTTCCAATTGCCGGTCCACTCTTCCACAATAGCGACAAACAACAACTAGCAACTCGAAGAAGAGCTGCTCGGGACCCCAACGGCTCAGCTCCGTTACTTCCACACAGAGACTTCAGGAGCTCCCTGCAGCTCTGCTTTGCCGGTTCATCCGGGTATTATAGAATACCCCACCGCCCAACTCTATAGTTTGTTATTGTGTATTTGTCTTTATGGTTTAAACTTTTTAATAATTACGGAGTAACTTTTTATTTATTTAAAAGTTCTGTTTTGAATGATTAAAAGTTACTTAGTATTAAATAGTTGTCTGTTTATTTAATTTTTTAGTGTTTAATGAATATATTTGTGTCTGTTTTGAATTTAAAAGATCATAAATGCTTATTTGTGTTTATGTGTGATGGTTTTATTGCTAAATACTAATTTATTTGTTAAAAAATTAATACTACGTACTTTAGTAGTTTAATTTTAAATTTGATTACAGTGTGATGTTTTATTTTCTCTTGAGTTTTGACTTTGGTATTTCAATTTTATGTTATTTTGACTTATATATTTTATAATTATGTTCGTTTTACTTGTGATTTTGTTAAGCTGCATTATTTTTATGAATTATCCATACTTTCTAATAAGTCATAGGTTTCTATCAACACTTAACCAATTAAACTTCGGGGCTTACGCCTCATTACGCCTCGAGGCTTACGCCTCGGAAGGCTACACCCTAACGCCTCGAGGCCCGATTTCGCCTTTCAAAACCTTGTATATATATAAGGTCGGGTTCCGGCGAGAACACTTCTTCGAAATGCACGGTCCAAAATGATGCACATTATGGTTAATGGGGATGCACATATATGGTTAAAATGATGCACAATTCGAATGTGCACATTTGTGGTTAAAATAATGCATAGTTCAAATGTACATTTTTTATTTATGGAAGTGCACATTTCTGTTTCACATAATGCACAATATTCAAATTCAATGCTCTAGAATCATTCTTATTTCCCTCCTTAGATCATGTTATCATTTGAACCAAATGATATTTAAACAAAATCGTCCCGTCTCTAGCCTTTGAAGACGTATCAAGACGAATTGCAAAGCCACTCAAAGATGCATATTCCTTATAGAATGATATGCTTCTTCAAGGTCCATGAAAAGCTTACCAATTACAGGCTTTCTTTCTAAGTCACATTCCGGAACCCAATATTTGGTCATCCCAGGGGATATCTGCAAATGACAAGAAGTGCCTACAACAAAAGAAAAATAACAAATGGACAAAATTCTTATAGGATTTAATTTGTACAATATCATACAAATGTAGCTATAAATTCAGTAGTTGTAGCAACAAAGACACATAATAAAACTTTTGTCCAACAATAATATTAGCCAGGTTAAAATAATGAAAACATTAAAAAAATGTATTCCATAATCTGAATTGTTGAAAGTAAAAGAATATGAGAAATAGGAAAACAAATGTAAGTATAACATTTTAAATATCACATAAATACGTAAACATTTACAAAAATGATGAAAAACAAAAATTTCAAACACATGGGATAATACACATGGGATAATATGAATTAGAGAGCAATTCATATTATTTTCATACGCACACATAGAAAACACATCTTACTTCGAGAATAATACCATCTTGTTTCATGATTTTAATGAAGCATTTGAAGATTTAAAATAACATAGAATATACGATAATGGGAACTTACAAATAATAAGGAATTCAGGAAAACAAACACACTAAAACTTACCGGGGTTCATCGTATTACTGTTGTGCAAAGAAAACAATGAAAGATAAAAATCCTTAGAATTTGGGTGAACGTTGATGTGCCTTTGTCAAAGAAGGGAATTTGGATGTTCAAAGGAGGGAGGGACGATTGTGAATACTGAATTTACAGAAATGGTCAGATGACTAAAAAGTCCCTTTCATATAATCTAGTAAGAGATCCAAGGGTTGAGATGGATGGCTGAGATAAATTCTCACTTTGCATATAAATAAGTCTTTTTATTTGATCTCCCCCTCTATATATATAGTTAGGATCAAATAAAAAGAGGGCTTAACGTGTGAAATCATTCTCACCCACTTTTACGTGTATTAGTTGCACTTCATGTATAGTGTAGTGCACTTTTTGACATTTCACTAAACATCACTTATTTACAAAATGTCACCGTGTGTTTCACTAAAACGTGGTGGCATTTTTGTAAACACATGTTTTTTTGGCGAAACGTCAAAAAGTGCATTACAGTAAAAGTGAGTGCGAAGAATTTCACATGTCAAAGTCATCTTTTTATTATAACCAACCTCTACACACACACATACATACATATATATATATATATACCAGTGTTGTCAAAAAACAGAGTTATCCAGGACTTAGGGTATGTCGGCTTCTGTGCCGACGATTTCTTCGGCCGAGGCAACAGAGAATCGGGCAGATGGAGGGATCTCAACCATCCAATTTGGATCTGTCGTCGTTCAGATTCCAGGGAAACACAACAATCCGGCGGAGACCGCCTGCCCTTCGCCACAACGACCTGAAAACAAGAGGAAAAATGGAAATAACTTCTGGACGGCAGAAAATTCAATAATAGCCGCGTACAAATGGCGTCCAGCTGACCTGCGATGGAGGCATCACTCAGATATTAGGGTCAATGGTATTTCAGTAGCTCGGACCTTCCGTGACCAGCCCAGAGCTCGCAACAAGCAAGCGGTAACAAGACCAAAGCTCACATCGGGACTCCAGTCAGCAATAAATTGTGGTCTACAGCGAGGTTCCTGCAAGTCGACTTCGCTAGCAGCAGCTTATAAGCAGGTCACACGCCAAACTAAATTTCAATTGCAAAACCGGAGGGGCAAAAATTGGAGTATCAGGCCACGATGTAATAATCGGCAGACTGATTCTCATGGGTATGACCATCTTAATTCTAGAAACCCTCAATCTGATTTTGAGATCATCATCGAAAGCAAGTCTTTTCATTTCATGATTTTTAATGGGAACTCCATTTGCATTTCTGAATCAAAGAATAATATCTCTTCTGCAATCTATCTTGATTTTGAGAGAATTACTTGGTTGAATAACTCAATTCCAAAGCTACTGTATGATAATTGGGCTGTATCTAAGGTTGAATTGCAGAATTCTATTCTGGTTCTTCACGACAGCAATTTTTTTGGCGGTTTTTTCCGAATCATTAAAAAGGGTTGTGATTCGTTATTTATACCTGAAGGTTGGAATGGAATGGGAATAAAAAAATTTATGTCAAGGATTATAAGAGCAACAAATTTGATGAGGGAACTTCTTACCAAAGAACCGCCTTTTCCAAATCATTGTTCTGATTTGATGGATCTTACTCTTGGGTCAGGTGAGGATTGCTACAAACAAAATGATGTCTCTATTTCGGGAATTTTGTTTCAAGTTGATATAGTTCTTTCTTCCTCCATTAAGAAGCCTGTGGTGTTGAAATCAACCAAAGACCTTAGTAGCTCTGCTACTCTACCGGATTATACAATCATCAATGATCTCTTTCAGACTACTATGAATACCGGGGTAGAATCACTCTCACATTTTCTTATCAAAGAGTTTGAACGAATTGTTGTCTCATGTTTGGATAAACGAGACTCATTGGATAAGAAATTGACAGAGACAACCACCCCCGAGGTAAACATGACCGATGTAGTTACATGTAATAATCAATGCTTTGCAGGGATTGCTTGTGAGGATATTTTTACTGATAAGGTTTTATCATACTCGGGAGATGAATTTTTGGGTCATGCTTCAGAGAGTGAGAAGAGAACTCCCATCTCTGTCATTAAAGACCTATGAGATTTTGATACAAACGAGGACATTTGCAACAAGGCTCGCTTGGTCACGAGGGAAAATTGCTTACCTACACAAAACCTCAACACTCAAATGAAATTGTATCGCAAAAAGTATCAGCGGTTACATCCCATGAGAACGAGATCTCAATCTCAGATGGAGTTCTAATGACTTCTCGGAATTAATCTTTTCTAGGTAGGGTTCATATATTGCAATTAGGGTTCATCTATTGCAATTAGGGTTGGTCTGTTTAATGTATTTGTTCTTGACTTTCTTTTTTCTTCATTTGTACTCTTTTTTTGTTTCAATCATCAATAAAATCTTTCTTTGTTAAAAAAAAATACCAGTGTTGTCAATCCGAGATAGCGGAGCGCCGCGGCCAACCCCAAAAACGCTATAGTGGTATAGCGGATAGCGGGATGACCGCTATTTAGGCTACTTTCAAATATAATACATAAGTAATTACTAGAAGCATATATAATACATTACATACACATTTCAAGTTCAAAAAGTATGATATATGCCAATGAAGCTTTCAAACATCTTAAGTCTTAACATTCACAAATCCTAAATTACTATGAGTGCTCTTCTCATCAGGCCGGCCTGACGGGATGCTCCGTCCGGCCGAGCCCGTTTGGGCACCTTCCCGGTGGAATTTTTTGATGAAATTTTTTGAGCATGTTCCCCATCAAGTCTAGTTTGTCCATACCAAATTTCAGCTCAAAATTCAATCGGGAAGGTCGTCAAATGATTTTTGCAAGTTAACTGGTCCGGAAAATACATATTCCGGACCAGTTAACTTGCAAAAATCATTTGACGACCTTCCCGATCGAATTTTGAGCTGAAATTTGGTATGAACAAACTAGACTTGATGGGGAACATGCTCAAAAAATTTCATCAAAAAATTCCACCGGGAAGGTGCCCAAATGGGCTCGGCCGGACGGGGCAGCCTGTCAGGCCGGCCTGACATGATGATTTCTCTACTTAGCAATACTCTTCTAAGTCTTTAGTTTCATACCAAAACATAAGATGCTATCATACTATTAATGATTAAAACATCTTGAATCAAAAACAAGGTTCTAGTTTAAGAGTTTAAGCCTTAATATATTAACAGTCAAAAAATTTAGATCCAACTTGCAAGCCCTTTGAATTCATCTTTCACCACTCCTCATTAAATTCTTCTTCTTCTTCCAACTCTATCTCATCTTCATTGTCATTTTCACTACTCGAGCAATCATAAAGTTCTTCCTCCACACTGGTCTGCTCTGTCACTTCAACATGTTCGATATCTTCTATTGAGCGGCCCGTCCCTCTAGAGCTTGTGGCTCCTCTAGACCTTGTAGCTCCTCTAGAGCTTGTACCTCTTTCACTTGTTCTGCTTTGCTGCCTAGTGTTTATCAAGGGCTCATTCACACTAGTTAGATCAACAACATCTCCCCAAGTAAAGTTGGCATCATCATCGAAAACCAAATCATCCTCGGCATCCTCTCCATCTCCCCCCATTACCCCACTAACCACGCATTGCTACCATCAATATCATTTAGGCGAATTGGATCGATCAAATCACGGCTATCAAATTACTCCTTAAGATCTTGGTTATATTTAATATAAACCAAATCTTGCAACCTTTGATGCTCAAGCCTATTTCTCTTATTCGAATGAATCTATTTTATAAATTGATATTAAAAAAAATTGTTAGTCTAGACTCCAGAATGAAAACAAAAACAGCACATTAAATCACTAATACACTATATGTTGTTGTTAGAAGTTTTAAAAAATGTAATAATAACATACATGCTCAAATGTACTCCAATTGCGCTCACATCCCGATGAGCTACAAGTCAAATTTAAGATCTTTATGGCAAGCCATTGAAGATTTGGTGTATGTGATCCATAGTTCCTCCACCATTCACCTTTAAATAAAAATATTAAACATTCTATTAGGGCTGCTTATTTATAGAAAAAAGAATAAGATGCCTTAACTTACCCGGACCAAGAGTGTCTCTTTGCCTTACTGCCAGCTTCTACCCAAAGAGACCTTCAACTCTCTTATAAGCATTCAACTCACTTGAAATTTTATCTTCAATTTCTTCACTTTCACTAAGCCTCTCAATTGCTTGGGTTCTTGTAGTAGAAAGAAGGGTTCAAATAATGACCAACGGCATGTAAGGGATGATGGAGTTGAGTTTCCCATCATAAATCAATGATTTCAAATATTTTATTGTATCTCCTTTCATTTCCTTGAAAAGAACTCTGAATTGCTTCCTTGGCTCGATCCATTGATTCATAAATGTATCCCATTGCGGGTTTTTTCTCATGATCGGCTAGCCTTAGAACGTGCACAAGAGGCCCCATTACTTTCAGAATGTAAACAACATCATTCTAGAATGTAGGATTAAGGATTATGTCCAGAAGTCTCTTTGCATTTCGATCTTTGGAAACATTAGTCTTTTTCCATTCATCGGAAGTAAACATGTTTCTAAGCTTTGCTCTTTGAGTATGTAGTCGTTGCAAGGTAAGGAATGACGTAGCAAACCTTGTAATACCACGTCTAAGCAATTCCATCTTGTTGGTGAACTTTCTCATCATGTTGAGAGCAATGGTGTGGTTATAGATGAAACCCACTACACGAATACCTTTTCTTGTTGTTGCTTTAATTGTCAGCAACTTCCCAATGTCCTCAAGCATCAAGTCTACGCAATGGGCAGCGCATGGTGTCCAAAATAAATGCTTTCTCTTCATTTGTAGCAGTTTTCCTAACAAAGAAATCAATAAACTCAGCTATGGCAGCATACTCACATAATTGAAACTCAAAAAAATAAATTTTAAATAAAGTTGTATTGAACTAATAAATATTACCGGCAAGAACATAATTACTTCCATTGTCGGTGATCACTTGCACCACATTTTCTTCCCCAATGGTCTCAACAAATTGATCAAGAAGCTCAAATAATTTCTCACCAGTTTTTGTGTATTCAGAACCATCAACACTCTTCACAAACATTGATCCTCTTGGGCAGTTCACCAAGAAATTAATCAATGTTTCCTATCTGTCATCCATCTGACATAACTGAGCATCCATATTATGCACGTTCCTCCTCATGGCCCTTTAAGAGTTCCTTAGTGTATTCCAATTCTTTTTTAAGAAATGGAACTCTACACTCATGGTAGCTTGGGGGCTTTAAATGAGGACCATAATTTCCAATGGCCTCAACCATCAATTTGAAACCTTTTGATTTCACAACATTAAAAGCAATTCCATTTCTGCATAGGAATCTTTCAATATATTGAATGGTTCTGGCCCTAGCTTCCTTGTCACAAGCATCATTTATGCTCGTTTGCCTCTTAGCTTTTCCCAAGCTTAGTGTTTTTTCTGGTTTCTTGTAGTACAACAAGTCTAAGGGCCCTTTAACCTTTTTGGCAGTAGGATGAGAGGCAGCTGATGTTAGGGGCCTTTTTCCTTTTCTGATATTCAGAATTTCAGTGAGTTCTTCCATGTCATCTTCATCTTCTTGCAACTCCATGTAAGCTTCTTTTTCCCTTTTTTTCTTTTCATATGCTTCTTTCAGTAAAAGTGTAACATCAGCCGGAGTTTTCCTGCAAGCTCCTACATCTCCTCTTATTCCCATTTGGTGTCTTTTGGCTCTAGTTATTCCTCCGGTAGTAGTTTTGCCACAAAAATCACATGTGACTGTCTTCTTGTCATTTAAATCTTTCAAACTGTTCCACTCCCAAGCCGGGTCAAGGTTGGGTCCAGTGGGCTTGAACATGGCAGTGGCAGTATACTCCGTGCTTAATGAGAAGAACAAAAGCCTTTAACAAAGAAAAGTTTCATCTTGTAGAAGATGTTGCAGCACAAGTACAGGAATTAAGGAAGAGTATAGTTTATTTAGGGGAAGAGGCGATTGTACTGGAAAGAGGCGAAGTGGAAGGAAGAGCAGTCATCGCAGATGTTGGGTCGTTGAAGGAGAAGTCACCTCAGGTGTTGTTGTCTTTGAAGGAGAAGTCATCGCAGCAAAAAGAATGAAAGACCGAGTTCAAAATATGGGGCCGTTTGTAAGGTATTGGTCTGCGCACGTGTAGAAGGGTTTACTGTGAATCTGTGATTGATATTTTATATCAAAAAGACTAATCTACCCTTAAACTTGAGCCATAAATAAACTAAACGCAGAAAAAAGTTTCAAAACGTTGAAGGAAGAAATCGCGCCGCTATTGCGGCCGCCTTTCCTCCAATCGCACGAGCGCTATTGCGACCTCCTTTGACGCTTCACCCAAACGCAACGCTAGAGGACTCCAAGTAGCGCCAGGTCAGCCAGCCGCTCCGCTAAACCGCTATAGCGCGCGAAAGCGCCACTATTCACTTCATTGATACATACATTACATACATATATGTATATGTATATATACATATACATATAAAAAATGCAGTTGGTATGATATGGACAAAATATACATATACATACATATATGTATATGTATGTATATATATACATACATAGAGGATGGAATGATCCTGTCCAGCAGCCCCCGGTCCGAATGCCGTCCAAACATGGCCATTTGGGGCACTTCCCGGTGGAATTTTTTGATGAATTTTTTTGAACATGTTTTTGATCAAGTCTAGTTTGTCCATACCAAATTTCAGCTCAAAATTCGATCGGGAAGGCATTCAAAATTCAAATCATTTTTGAAATTGACTGCGTCTAAATATACATATAAAAATGCATTCAACTTCAAAAAATGATTTGAATGCCTTCCCGATCGAATTTTGAGCTGAAATTTGGTATGGACAAACTAGACTTGATGAGGAACATGCTCAAAAAATTTCATCAAAAAATTCCACCGGGAACCGCCCCAAACAGCGGTGTTCGGACCGCGGCTCCCGTCCGAACGTTCGGACCTGAACATTCTTGTACATACATATACATATAAAAATGCAGTTGACTGCGTCAAAATATACATACAAAAATGAAGTCAACTTTAAAAAATGATTTGAATGCCTTCCCAATTGAATTTTGAGCTGAAATTTGGTATGGACAAACTAGACTTGATGGGGAACATGCTCAAAAAATTTCATCAAAAAATTCCACCGGGAACCGCCCCAAACGGTGGAGTTTGGACGGCAGCAGGACAGGGGAGGGCTGGACTTGAGCATTTCTGTATATTTGTGTGTGTGTGTGTGTGTATATATATATATATATAGCAGTCTTCTTGTCCAGCCGGCCTGACGGGAACCGCTGTCGGGACGAGGGCATTTCAAGTCCTCCCCGGTGGAATTGTTTGTTGAATTTTTTTGAGCATGTTCTTCATCAAGTCTAAATAAATTATTTACGAACACTGCACATTTAATATATATAAATATTTTTCAAAAAATCATTTGATTGCCTTCCCAATTGAATTTTTAGCTGAAATTTGTATCCCATAGAATCAGATTAGGGTGGATGAAGTGGAAGAGTGCATCAGGATTTCTATGCGATCGAGGTATGCCGACTAGACTGAAGGGTAAATTTTATAAGACAGCAATTAGGCCGGCATTATTGTATGGCACGGAGTGTTGGGCGGTGAAACAATGTCACATTCAAAAGATGAGTGTGGCAGAGATGCGCATGCTGCGTTGGATGTGTGGGCATACTAGAAAGGACCGCGTGAGGAATGAGACAATTAGACAAAGGGTGGGAGTAGCACCTATTGAAGATAAGATGCGGGAGTCACGCCTACGGTGGTTTGGTCATGTGCATAGAAGACCGAGTGATGCACCTGTCAGACGAGTTGAGATGTGTGGAGAAGAGGTAGGGAAGAGAGGGAGAGGAAGGCCCAAACAGACGTGGGTTAGGGGAGTCAGAAGTGATATGCTTCTTCTTGGATTGGATGAGGGTATGGCTTTGGAGAGAGCAAAATGGAGGGCGGGTATTCGTGTTGAGGAGTGATCTTGTATCATCTTTTTTTTCTTCTTCTTCTTCTTTTTTTTTCCTTTTCTTTTATATCTTTATCCTTATATATAAATATTACCTTATCCTTTTTATTTGATCTTTTATATGTATATTCATCTCTTTTATATTATCTTTTTTTTATAATAGCTTATCTTTTTTATCTTTAGTTTCTTTCTTTTCCTTTTGGTGATAATGTGATATCATATATCGATTCATGTTAGCCGACCTCAATATCATTTGGGACTAAGGCTTGGATGTTGTTGTTGTTGTTGAAGAGCATGTTCAAAAAATTTAATCGAAGAATTCCACCGGGAAGTGCCTGAAATGCCCTCGGCCGGACGGCAGTTCCAGTCAGGCCGGCAGGACATGAAGATTTATATATATATATACACACACACATATAGATATACATACATATGTATGTATGTATGAAGCTCTCTTTATGAGCCAACTTGAGCATTTCTTAGTGACATTGACAAGTCGTACACCTCATGTTATTAGGAAGGCTTTTCATGTTGTGAACTCGGATGCAAGTAGATTTTATGAATTTTCCATTGAGGGTGCAAATGCTTAATAAAACGTTGTATTTTTAATATTGTACTCACTAAATTGCACCTAACTAGATTTTCACTTGTGAAAAGATTTAAAGTTTTACTTTGTCAATACAGCTTCTTTTTATTATATTCAATCTATTTTGAAAAGATTTAAAGTTTTACTTAGACAATGCAATTTCTTTTTTCTGCGTTTTTAAATATTAATTTTCTATCACTAATTTAATTTCTACGAATCATAACAAGCTTTAGTGTAGTTTTAAGCATGTAAATTATAACTTTCGACACTAAACTAATATAGGGAAAAAGGTCAAATAGGGCCTCAAACTACATAAAAAAGGTCAAATAAGGCCTTATATAGGAGGTTCTCTCCGGCTGTCGCCATTGGGGCGGTTCCCGGTGGAATTTTTTGATAATTTTTTTGAGCATCTTAGTCATCAAGTCTAGTTACTTATACCAAATTTCAGCTAAAACTTCAATCGGGAAAGCATTTAAATAAATTCTTGAAGATAACTCCGTAGTTATCTTTAAGAATTCATTTTGGGACGGAGGTAGTATTATATAGCATATACTTGTGTATGTTGTGGACTTGCCGGTAGTATTTTATAAATATGTATGTTGTGGTATACGGTTTATAAATATGTATGTTGTTTTCAATTATTCATTGATGGTTTCAATTCTAGGTAATATTCTATTTAATTAGTAATATATAATATACATAATCTATAATAAGTTACAAATTAAATATAGTGTAAGAGAAAATTATATATAATTAGAAATATATAATATATAATTATATACAATATATTACACAAAATATGACTGGTCGCCTAATTGTCATCTAGGCGGGCGACTTGCCGCCTAAGCAATATGGCGATTGGCGTGTGCTTAGAAAAAATACTTCTTCTCATTTTAACTGTCTTAAATGACTTTTTAATATTTTATTTAGATGAATGTAGTAACATTTAAATTATATTAAGAGGTCGTTTGATAACACTAAAATTGACTGAGCCAACCGAATCTGGTGAAATTGGTGAAATTATGACAGAAGCGGTTGAATTATGACTGAGCCAACACTAAAACATTATATATAATAATGTTTATTTTATTAATAAATTAAAGAAAAATTATATGAAAAATAGTTAAAATAGTCCTCTCTAACAACTTCAACCAATTCACCCAGGAAATAATTCTACAAAGGAGAGCCCGGTGCACGAAGTCATCCCCACAAGGCGAGTTTCGGGGGAAAGGTCCCACCACAAGGGTGTATGAGGAGCAAGCCTTCCTTTGTCAATATTTTTTCAAGAGATCATTCCCAAGAATTGAACCAACTGAACTTTCGGTCATACAAAAACACTTAACTGGTGCGCCAAGGTTCCCCTTTACACAGAAAATAACTTTAACTTTAAATATTTTAATTATTACACAATTCAGCAACGAAATAAAAATTATGTGTTTGATAAAAATCTGGTTGATAAGACTAATAATAGAGGCTATCAAATGGGCTTCTAGATATGTTACACATATCACGATGCACTTTGTGCCCTCCCACTCATTTTTTTGCATCCTAAATTTAATTTGGTCACAAAGTACAATAATATTCAACTAAATGACAACATTACCTCAGTGCCACAAAGGCTCTCACCTACGGTGGGGTAAGGGGGGGGTCAAATGTACACAGTTGTACCCCTGTACTAAAACACATACAGACTGTTTCCGGTTGATGATGAAAATCACGTTGAAAATTCAAAATTGCATTTGGACTGACTACTGCTTCATAACAAAGAAACACAAACAGTTTAGTGAGCCATTTTGCTTTATTCCATCATATTCCCAAGCTAAAAATAGTGAGTCTTTGGCTCGGTGGCTCCATTGGAAATCATGGAAATATATTCAACTAAATAAATATAACAAAAAATACTAAAGTAGAAATTTATCTATTTGTAATGTATTCCGTGTAGTATATATTCCGTATATATTTGGGTGCATGGATATATTGAAAAAACCATAGATTATTTCAATGTCGGAACTCACTTTAATTGAAGACGGTTGCTTTCATTTTAAACCAAGCCAAATTGAAAAAGCTGTCAGAACTTGAACGGCCACTGAATTGTATCAATACTTCTGAAAAACTGAACAGTAATAACATTAAATAATACTCCCTCCGTCCCATAATTAAGTTCCTACTTTCCTTTTTGGGATGGTCCATATTAAAGTTCCTACTTCAAACCTTTCCTTATTTGGCAAACGATTTACACCAAAACAGTGTCAAACAGTGCCAAACAGTGTCAAACAGTGTTCAAACAGTGCACTCCACAGTAAAGTCAAATTTATTTCTTAATATGTGTGAAGTCAAACTAGGAACTTAATTAAGAACCGGAGGGAGTACGTGAGTAATAAAATGGTTGCTTTATGCTCGAGCCCTTTCAACCCACTTTTTACTCATTTTTTTGGGCGGGAAAAGAGCTTACTTTTTATCTTCCTTTTGCATAGAAAAGAGTTGCCATTTGTCATCATGCCCACGTTTGCCAGACAACTTTATGCATGTACTACAGTTTAACTGAGTTTTGGAATACTTTGTTTCTTTTCCAAAATCAGTTATGTCTGTTATTCTTTGACTGGCCTTCAGGATGAATGAGTATTTATCTTCATAGTCCATGCATTGCTAAATGTTCTTTTCATATTTCCTACTAGCATAAAAATTTCTTATGCAGTGTAAAAAAACGCCAAAAGAGGCAGCAGCCAGATGGCCAGAGTGACTTCTCTGGAAGTCTGCAAACATCAAATGGGACCGGAGATTACTTGAGGGACAAGAACTGCGTGTCCTCTGATCCCAAAGACATCCATAAGGTGAAGTTTTGAAGGATTTTGTTTCTTTGAGCTAATCTATGCATATTCAGTTTTTGTAATTAGGGAGCTTTTGGTTTAGGTTATAATATCATATGCCAAGGAATCTCACTCAGTATTATCAATAGCGGATAACAGATTATGGTAGAAAACTAAAAAACAGACAAACAATTATATAAATGTAGTGGATTGCGTTGCCCTAAACAGGGGAAACATAAGATTAGGTAAAAATGAATTACATACTACCTATGCTAATTATATATACTACTATACTAGATGTAAGAAGTAATGTAACAAAATAGATTCTAGTAATATTAAAACAAGTAAACCACCAAAATTCAAAATTTTCTTAAAATAAAGTCTTCTTAATAAACTGAATAATTAGCAAAAACAGCAACCAATTTGTCTAAGAGATTAAGAGGAGTGGGAGAACAGGAAAAAATTAAGAGAAGTCCAAGAAGGAGAGAAAAACTTACATGAAAGATGGCAACTTTGAAGAGAAGGGTAAGAGTTTGATTTGTGATAAGAAAGAAGAGATGAAGTGGTTTTGGACTCTGGGAAGTACATGACCTCTTATTGAAAACTTCTCAGCAGAAGAAAATTCTAAGAAACTTTTGACAAACAAATCGCGTCTGGCAAATAGATTGTCAAAGCTGCAACAATTCCTTGGGCGGCTAATGCATTTGCCTCCTGAGGCGTGAAAAATGGAAATAAGTGAGGAAGGCGTGTTCTCTATGACATCTGTTGTGCTCAAGTTAAATGTTGCAATCTTTTCATTGCATCTTTGCGCAAGCCTAGTCGTGTCACATGCGCACTTTTAAAACCAAGGACTCAATCATGGTTTAAAGTAGAGGTTGAGGCCCACGGCTCAAGGCGCGACTCAGTACTGAATGGAGAAATATCACGCTGAGGCTTCAGCCTTTCTCTGATGACGAGAAGCGTACAGCCGTACACTTTACCAGCTCGAGGCGTGTGAGGTGGTGCTTTATGATGCGGGTGAGGCGCATGCCTTGCGTTTCTAGAAATATGCTTCTTTTTATATAGATCCTGGCCCAACAAGACTGATCTTTGGATTGCTCTAAGTTTATAAAATAAGCATCTATGCATTGGACATTAGCAAATAATTGAGGCGTAAAAGTATTAGGAGTTAATTTATATTTCTAATATATAAAATGTGAAGTTGTGATAAGTACACAGAGAATTGGAGTAGAAATATTATTGATATTGTAGAAAACAAGAGGAATACAATGGAGGCAAATCCTAGAGGCCCCTATCCCTCCCAATCCCAATTCTTCCCAAATCCCACCCTACTCCCTTGCTTCCATGAGACTCCTCAGAGGTTCTTTCTTCTGGAATTATCGATGTGTTGGACGCAGATTTGTTGTTGCTCAACTCATGGTCTGCAAAAAGCCCTATGCAACCTTCTCCAAATACCTGACAGCCCACATCAGCATCCATTGCCCTTAAAGGATCATCAAAGATATAGACCTCAGAATTAGAATAAACAACTCGTGCCATGTATACTCTTTGTATACTCTTTGCTTCTGGCCTCCACTAATATGGAATCCTTTTTCACCAATTTCAGTAAGATCACCACCAGTGAGAAATTGCAGATCCTGTTGTAAAGCAGTTACATCTATTGCCTTCTCATATCTGGAAGGTTCAAACTTCAAACCGAGAGCCAAATTTTATGTGTTCACGCATTGTTGCTTTAAAGACCCCAAAAAATGGTGGCACACAGGCAACTGTTCCTCTAATTAGGACACTAGCATCTGAAACTGCTGGTACCTCATCAAGCATTACTACAACTACAACAGTTGGGAGCAAGGAATCAAGCATCTCCTTAGTTGGGCTGGGATGAAACCTAAATAGAGAGTAGGTAGGATACTTGTTCAGTCTCTTTTCAGAGACTGACCTATCAGCAGCAAGCATAAATTCTTCTACCATATGATGCACTCCAACATCGGCAGGATAAGGCGGGGAAGTATCAATCTGAAATTGAACTTCACCAGGCGCATGAGCGCATCATCAACACTTTTAGAAACAATTTAAATGCTCATTTCTTTCTCTTCAATTTCTCCGGATCGCGGAGAGATAATGCCTTCAGATGGCGGTTGCCGCTTATTAACATACTCCAAACAGAACGGTGCAGCTTGCGACGTGTGAGAATCCGCTTGCGATAGAGTCTGCGAACGGAAAGATACTGTTCGCTGCGAAGTAGATAACAGGAACAAATTGCTGGTGACTCAGACAGAACCTGCGATGAAATCTATGATCAGACAGAATTTGCTCGCAATGATGAAGAGCCATGGCCTTTAAATTGTTGACGACTTGTTCTCGATACGTCCTCTAGTATCCCGACAAAATTTCTGAAAGAGCAAGTTGCGCGTCTCTTCTATCGATGTGCGCAAGTCGCACAGCTCGTCCACTGCTGTACGCACCTCCGCTAGGTCACACTCTATCTTATCCGGTCGCTTCTCTATCCTGGATCGGTTGAAGGTCTTCGACTGGTAGATCGATTGTCACTGCTCTGATACCAATAGTACGTACACAGAGAATTGGAGTAGAAATATTATTGATATCGTAGAAAACAAGAGGAGTACAACGGAGGCCAATTCGAGAGGGCCCCTACCTCTCCCAGATCCCAATTATTCCCAAATTCCAGCCTAACCCTCTCCCTTTTCTATTCCTTCTATTTATTCTTTTCCCATGAGGCTTCTCCTCAATCTAACTAATTACTTGGCCCAGCCCACTTCCTTTTTTATACCTTATTAAAATATTCATTACTATTTCTATTACTTCTCTCGCCATAAGCCCATAAGTTCAGGTCCGTAATTCCGTATCAAGTTGTCTAAGCAAGCTTCTTCCTATGTTTCTTCTCTTGCGTTTCTTTTCTCTTTTTTCGATGGTTCAACAAAAAAGGAAAAGTAAAGAAGTTGGGACCCAATGACCCATGGTGGGAATGGGGAACCCAAAAGAGAGATCTTGTTTGGAGGCAGGTAAGAGTTCTGAACATTAAGTTACTTTTATGTATTCTAGAAAATCAAAGTTTTGAATATCAAGTTTTTTATGAATTTGTAAATATTATATGCTATTGCATTTGTTGTTATGTCATAGGGAGTCCGATGTATCATTTAGAGCATCTATACTTATAACTTGTATGTAGCACATGCAGCTTATACCTTTTGAACCTTGGCCGCAATGGAGGTGTTTTGAATTCATAGGTAAAATCGCATTGTAACTGCAAAACATCAGGAGCGCTACCCTTATTTCATCTACTCTTTATATTTTTAAAATGTTGTTTTCTGTATATATATATTTTTAAATCTTATCATCATCATCATCATCATCATCTCAATCTTATCTTTATCTTATCTTTTTTATCTTATACAACAACAACATTACCTAGAGCCGCAAAGGCTCCCACCTATGATGGGGTAAGGGGGGTTGAATGTACGTAACCTTACCCTATACTAAATCGCAGCGAAAATTGCATGGACTGACAGGTGCTTCATAATAAAGAAGTGCAAACAGTTTACTGAGCCATTTTGCTTTATTCCATCATATTCCCAAGCCAAAAAATAGTGAGTCTTTGACTCTATTGGAAATGACGGAAATATCTTTTTATCTTATCTTATATTATCTTTTTATCTTTTTTTTTCCCCTCATTTCATCCCATCCCATCCCATCCCATCCCATCCCATCCCATCCCATCCCATCCCATTTAGCTCCGATTTCATATATCAATTCATGTTAGCCGACCTGATCGAGAGAGTTTTCTGTTTTTATCACGAACCCAAACTCTTTTGGGACTAATGCTTGGATGTTGTTGTTGTTTTTGTTTTGTGTATCTTTTTTTCACATGTACGCTAGCAAAATAGAATTTGCACTCTTCATTCTTATGCGTGGTAGCGGCTGCAGTTGTGGTCGCAACCACAATTTAAGACCACAGGAGAGATGAGGCTAGACCACAAGAGAGTAGATGACGAACAAACGATCGCAGGGAGGAGAATTTTTTTGATTAAATAAAATACATACAAGCTTAAGTGAATAAACCAGCTTCTAATTTCTCGCATGTTCAGTGATTGTCTTGCTCATTTTTGGGCAATTCTATGTGTGATCAGTGAGTGAGAGAACCTATTGGTTTTATGAGTTTAGAAGGAATGTGGGGGTGGGGGACGAGTATGATGTTTCGTTGTCTGGTTCTGTTACTTCAATATAAGCTTCTCCTTTCATAAAAACTAGCTGGCCAGATGGGTCTGCTTTTAGGGATTATTTAAGATACCCTAAGAAATGGGTCGAAAGATGGGTCAGCAGCTAGGTAATGGTGGATCAGTTATTCCAACAACCCTAAAGACCCCACATGGTGTCATAATGCCACACCGTGATCTGCCATAGCGGCCACCTTGCATAGCTACGATGATTCTGCATCACACTTGTATCATCATGATCTGCTCAAATCCACAACCACTATATGCCTGTAGTTTCATAAGTACATCTTCATTCCTATCCTTTTTGTGTCCGCCTTTTTATTGTAGATTAAGCTTGTTCAAATCTGAAACTTGTAGATAAGGGAATTGCATTCCGAAATAAAAAAGCTGGAAGACCGGAAAAAAGGATTGGAGGTTAGTTTTGATCATTTTGTAATTGATGATTAGAAGTGTGTTTGATATTTCGGTCTGTGCTCTATCTTATATTCTTATGTTTTATTTTCGAAAAATTTATTTTGGATTAACATGCACAAAAGTAGGCGGCATCCTAAAGAGTTGTAAATCCACAGTTACATTTACAAAAACGTCACATCACAATATTCATAGTGAACGATCCTGTATAGAACTTCCTCATCATGAGCCTCAAACCTAGTATGCTACCTTCCAACCCTGAAAACAACACACATTTTCCTTAATTCCAGAAAAATGCCGCATGAGGTCTTTTCAGAAGCCATTGAGGGACAATACATTAATAGGAAGGGTAGTAGAAGAGATGAGATGGAATGTTGAGGGCTTGGAATATCCTCATGGCCAACAACAACAACAACAACATCCAAGCCTTAGTCCCAAAAGATATTGGGGTTGGCTAACATGAATCGATACATGATAACACCACCAAAAGAAAAAGAAAGAAAATAAAGATAAAAAAATAAGCTATTGGGATGTATGAGCATCCAAGAGATGGTACATAGATTGTGATCCCATGTTAAACAGGATTGGACATTTATAGGGTGGTTTGTGAGGCATCCTTTAGCTTTATCATTCTTGCACACTAATTGTTGTGTATTCGCATGCTATTAATTGAATGTTTGTTTCCAACGATATCCTATTGTTTCTAGCAAATCTGCTTGTGCTTCATGCATATCAGGCTATGAAGAGCTGAGGCCTGAGGGTATATACTCCCAACACCAAATACCATTTTTATGCCTCTTGGTGTTGTGTGTATATTCAAATGAGCAAAGTAATGTGTCTATAGTCTCAGGAGCAAATTTATCTGATGTTAAAAGTTAAAACTTGTCTAGGCGATGTCATGCTACTGTCCAAACTATTTAAAATAGTTTTCAGTAATACTTTGGTTGTTGTTAGGTCTACCTGGAAGATAGATCCCAAGAGGCAGAAAATCTGACCTTTAGAGTTAAAGATCTTGAAATAGAGTTGATAAAAGAAAATGAGGAGTGTAAAAGGTAACCACGTTAAATCTATCTTCAACATGACTTTATCTTTGTAATTCTACGTTTAGTGTGTTCTTGCAGCTGATCTGTGTCTTTAACAAATTATGGTTGTGGTTTGTTCCAATTCAAGGATTACAAGCAAAATTAAGAAGTTCACTGAAGCACATAAGCGTCTTTCTCATTTACACGATGAAGTCAAGAGGTATCCTTTTGTGCAAAACACCTTTCTTCTTCCTCAAATAATTTTTATCTCTGGTTTTCATCATTTCTTTTTCACTATTTATTGATTTTGTTGCGAGAGTATGGCTTTAGAGGGAGCAAAGGGCGAATATTTGTGTGGACGATTGATATCTTCTCTCTCGTTTTCTTTATCTTTTTTATCTTCTTTATCTTTCTTATGTTCTTAACTTCTTATGTTATTTTTATCATTTATCTTTCTTATATTCTTTTTATCTTATCTTTATCTTTATCTTATCCTTTTTATCTTACCTTATCTTCTACTTTTTTCTCTTTCTTTTCTCTATTTGGCTCTGATGTAATGGACGATTCATGTTAGCTGAGGGCTGACCCCAAAATCTTTTGGGAACAAGGGTTTGAGGTTGTTGTATTGATTTTGTTGCGCTAATCAATTTCTTTCTTAAAATCCTGTACTAAAGACTTGGTTGTGGCTCTATAAACTTGTAGGTCAGATGCTCAACTTCAAAAGCTTGGTGAAAAACTGATCTTAAATGCTAGTGGTGCAAGCGGAGATGATTTAAGTTTAAATGCAGTAACAGATGGAGAAGCTAAAAGTATTTGTCCCACTATCTGTGGCAACATGAAAAATAACATCTCCCCACATAAGAAAAGGTCACAAGTGAACGTGGCAGATGGGGAGTCACCAAGTCAAGGTAGGCGTGAGAGTACATGATTTTTAAATATTGTTACTGACACTTATCCATGTATCGAAGGTTCTTTTTGTTTGTTTCATGTTTAAAATCCTCTTAAAGAGGCAAGTGAAGTACTAGAGATCTAAAATAATGTTGTCCTTTTTAATGTTGTCCCACTCTTTTTTCCTCCCATTTATGAAGAACAACAAATGGTTGAATATTCTTTAAATGTCTATTTCCATATGAAATGTCTTAATAAATCTTTTCACTGATCTGGCTTTCATGTTTTGGTCCATCTGTATCTGAATGAGTCATTTAATTAAAATGTCTTCATTATGGTAGTTAATCGCGGGCACTTGAGATTGCCCAAGTCTATGAGCTTGTTGTACCTTGGCTGTCTAGATCCTGTGCAAGATAGGAAATTACATTGGATTGGTGGGAAACTCATGCTATACCATGACATTGCTAGTGGATGTACAGATTTTATCTTGTGTTTGGATTGTAGCTAGTGGGATAAGATGGAGTCAGAGTGTCAGATAATCCATGTAATAGTTTAGTTTTCCTTTTTGACCTTTTATAAGGCATAACTGATCAAATTACTCAAACCCAGTTACCCAGGAAACTTGTCCCTAAAATTTAATAGATTTCTAAGTTAACTTTCTTTTAATGTGCTTCATAAATGAATACTTTGATATGGGCGTGCTTTATTATTATTTTTACTATTATTATTACTAATTACTAAATTTATTACCGTACTATTGATTTAGTTTCCTTTATAAGTATTAGTATTACTATCCTATTGTTATTAGTAATAGTTCCCTATTAGTATAGGAAGTCTATTTTCGTTCATATTCCTAGCTGCAGTATTGTAATAGGTTAGGGGTTACTCTACTAGTCTACCAAGAATCCTGGAATTAGTATAAACGGAGGTGCTCTATTCATTAATGATATGATCATTATTTTTGGAGTTTGTCCCCTGAGTCTGGACAAGGTTGGACACCACCTTCTCTTGCCTAGGGTAGAGAAGTTCTTCAGCTTTATTGATTTACTTGTGTTTTTTTAAGGAATTTTATCAATCCAGGACATAAAAGATATATTCACTATCAATGTCAGACCTACAAGATAAAGTGTATCGATATAGGGCCCGAATGATCGAAAACTATCAATCTAAGACTTAAAGTTCCATGAATTTTTATTTTTTGTATTTTATAAAATTTCAATATTATTTAATCTTATTAAACTAATAAACTTTTGTGAAGAAAAAATTATCAAAATTAACAATGGAATTAATAAAAATTAAAAAAAATTAAAATCAATTTTATTTTAGGTTTTCGATTGATAGTTTTCAATCATTCGGGTCCTATATCAACACAATTTATCTTTGAGGCTCTTATTGATTGTGAATGTATCATTCAGAACCTAGATTAATAAAATTCCTTTTTTTTAATCTCACTACCACGTCCGACACTACGGGCTACTTTTCCCTTCAAGCATGAGAGCAAGCTTGATGCCCGAGAGGGGAGTAATAATATGGACGAGCTTTATTATTATTATTATTGTTGTTGTTGTTGTTGTTATTATTATTATTAGTTTTCTCTATAAGTATTAGTATTATCTTCCTATTGTTATTAGTAACGGTAGTTCCCTATTAGTGTAAGAGTCTATTTCAGTTAATATTCGTAGTAGCAGTATCATAATAGCCTAGGTCAGGGTATTGGTATAAATAAATGTGCCGTAATACTAGTTTACCAAGACTCTTAGAACTAGTATAGTGCTCCATTCATTAAGTATACGACCGATATTTTTGGAGTAATCCTCAAAGTTATGATAAGGTCGGTTGCCACCTTTTTCCTAGGACGAATAAGTTCATCTTTACTGATTTCATCGTTCATTAAACCTCCATAATATGTTTGTAACATACTTTTGTAAAATAAGCATGGACACTATTTTTGGGGGGCAATCAGTGTAAAAATTAATTAATGCTTCATTGAAAAAACCAGTGCCCCCTTTTAAAATGTTCCTTGTAATAAGGACCAGAGGGAGAAATATCTTTGTTGCTTTGGATGTCACATGGTGTCACTTGATTGTTTGTAAATTGTCTCCATAATGCTCACTATTTTCTGCTTTTCTTATTCTTCTCTTGTTTATAATATGACTTATTTTGCTGGGTATTCTATACTACAGGTAATGAGAAGATAAAATTGGGAGATAACCCTTCTCGAAGAAATATGCTTCAGATTCAATACAGTAATGAGAAGAAAACGAAGGCAGATATTAATAGCAAAAGTAGTTCCCAGAATACTGAATATGAAGAAAGACCTAAAGGCTGGGGAAATATTTCTCCTAACAGGAGAATAGTAGAAAAGGTGCTTTAAAATTTCCTCTTTTCCCCACCCTATTCACACTTCCCGTCTGCAATTATATCCTTGCAAAAAGAGCAGAATGAGAATTGGTGTTCTGTTTTTTCTCCAGAAAATAGTTCCATTTGTTTGGTAGTTAATTCTAGGAGTATATTCATATTCACTTTTCGTATATGACACAAGTTATTCAAATGCTTTGCTACTATTTTCAGTTATTTTGCATGTTGGCATCTATAAGATTTTACTCTACTCTGCCCTCTATAGTGTGAAATATACCGTTTTGTCTTTTATTATGTGACATCAATATTATCTAGCCCCTCAAAATTCTGCAGGCCAAGGGTGTTTCTGATGCTGCTTCCCTTTTGATGCTGCCTTCAACAGGAATGGCAGCTCATGCAACGGATGAAGTAGATGTTGAAGTTGTTGAAATGGAAGAAAAATATGATATGCTTGAAGATTCTTCTACAGTAGTGGCTGAAGAGGCTGTTTATGATGATAGAAAGTTGCTTTATCTACCACCCCCACCACCGCTTCCAACCTATAAGAATTCTCTGTCACAGGTTAGCTATGTATGTTGGTATATAGACTTTAGGTGGCACTGTGGCAGCCTGAGCAGAACTTTTTAGATATATGTATTACCCCCTCCGCCCCTCATTAAGAACCTAGTTTAAATTCACGAGTTTTTAGGAAATCTAAAAGAATATGCCCTTCAATAAATTTAGGGAAATTAACTTTAAATAATACTTCCTCCGCCCTGAATTGAATTGTAATTTGTGGATCTTAAGGTTGACTGATGATAAAGTTAATCATCCCTGTGGATAGTTAAATCAGTTTTAATAATTATAATTTACATATTCGGAAATTGCATAGAAAGTTCTTTAAAGTTGCAAAATCCAAATTAGAATATAACAAAAAATTGATATGCTAAATAAGCAGATAAATTGAAAATGCGTTGATCAAGAAAAGTTGACTTTGTTAATCATTTTGGGGCGGATGAAGTATCAAGTATCACTGGTAAACCAATAATAATACATATTATAGAAATAACTATTTCATAGCCCAACTATTCAAATATATAACAAAAATGATATGGAGTTGCTTTCTGACCTCAATGTCGGTCATTGAATCATCAAAAGCTTATTCTAAACCATCAAATAAAGTTTTTATGTTAAATGCATATCATATTCTTATAGTTACAATGGTCAGATTTGACGCCAATAAGGTGCTCCATTTTTTTACTTGAATAGTTGGGGTATGAATTAGTTATTTGACTTATTTCTATAGTTTTTATTGTTATTGGTTTAGTTGATATTATTGAAAGTTATTTTCCCCTAAAAGTATGATAGAGGAAATGAGTAATTAATGGCTTACTATTCATAGAGGTAAACAAATCTTTTACTACCCAAATATCACCACAAAAGGAAGCGTGAACTTAATTTTGGGACATACGAAAAAGGAAAGCGAAGAATTAATTTAGGGACCGAGAGTACATATTATGGGAAATTGACAAAATGAAAGCACATTTGGAAGGGCGTATAAATTGTTACAAGTTCTGATGTCAGAGTACACAGGCATGGAAGTAGAGAAATATTCTCTGTCCTACACTCCTACATTAATGTCACATTTGACGCTTATGGTTAAAGATGTTGGATATTGATATCATCGTGGTTGTTGATGTGGTGGTTATTATTGTTACCATTGTCGTCAGCACCACCGCTGTGGTGGTGGTTGGTGACAATCTCACTTTGTTGTTCTATGGATTGAATACAGAAGTAACAGTTTCACTTTCTCGCAGTTCAATGGTGGAGATGAGAATGTAGACGTAGATGGGGGTGACGAAGAGACAGCTGAGGTGGATATAATTTAAAAAACGTCTCCCAGTTCGAGGGTGAAGATGAGAAGGTAGACGTAGATTAGATGACAAAGAGACTGCTGGGGTGGATCCGTGGATATAATATAATTTAAATTATTGTCTTAGCTCTGATGCTTCTAACTTTATTGTGGTATATATACTCCTAGTTTTGGGCATGGCCATCTTATATTTACTTATTAGTTGGACTAGAGAAACTCACAAAACGAGTCTTGTGCATGTTTAGGGTGGTTCGGTACGATATACTGAATATTTTCTTTCATACCTTTGCCATACCAAAACTTTCGGTATACAAAATTTATATACCGTTACCTTACCGAAGTTTCGGTATACCGCATTTCGGTATACCGAAGTTTCGGTTCGGTAACGGTACAATATCGGTAAATTACCATGCATGTCTCCCAATACAACAAATTATCATAGACTAACGAAATATACTAAATCATTGTTACTACTTACTAGTGAGTCTAGTGACACATTTAATCTATTATTAAATGTTACAAAATACAATTAATAAGGTATTGATGTCAATCCATTATTGAACAATAATTATTACTCCCTCCGTCCCATTTATATTGTCCCGTTTTACCTTTTCGGGAAGTCCCACTTAAATTGTCTCATACCATATTTGTCAAAGTTTGTGTGGCTCTAAATCATTCTTACTTTATTCTTACTTTATCAATTAATATCAACCACACAAACCTACTTTTCTTAATAACCGTGTCACCCTCTTCTGGGACAATATAAATGGGACGGAGGTAGTATTAGCATATTTAAGCAGTTCAATATGTCATGTATTCAATAAGTATTAAAAAAATAGACATTCTCCTAAAATAACTTGAACAATATAGATATAATTAAATCAATAGTAATCTCTAACAAAAATAAAGAAAATAATTCAAACATGGATATAAAATTGTTTATTCCTAATATATATGGTATTGTGTATTTCGTCATTTTTTATGATAAAAAAAATATTTGATTAAGACTTTCAGACAAAGTTGTATGCCTCAACACGCGAAATCTCTATGTTAGTGGTGTACTTGGGTCGGGCCACCTGGCCCGTGGACCGGCCCGGCCTGCTACTATGCGGGACCGGCCCGGTTCTCGGGTCCGGGTCGGGCCTAGGCCCGGGGGGAGGGCGGGTCTGGGCTCAGGTCTCACATTTGGCGAACTGGCCCGGTCAGGTCGGGCCCTGGTTCGGGCCAAATTGATTTTTTTTTTTTTTTTTTTTTTTTTTTTTTTCATTTTTTGGGGTTCCACCCGGGTTGGGCTTGATGGTTAGGAGGGGTTTGGGGGGGTTTGGGGTGGGGAGGTTAGGAAAGCAAAAAAAAAAAACCCAAACTGGAGGCCCGGCCCGGTGGCTACCTAGGCCGGTCCCGGGTCCACCAATCCTGAACCGCCAGCCCGCCCGAGCCTAGGCCCGACCTGGCTCGGCCCGGGTCCATCACTACTCTATGTAGATACACGTCACATAAGTGTATCCCTCTTCACTCGTCAACTACTCAGTGGCTCAGCCATTGTGACCCGCAACCTCTTGGAACAAGATGAATTTGTTTCTGAACATTAGTACATTATTCATTAGTCATTAGAGTTAGTTTGTTTGAATGTTATGTAATAGAAGCCTAGAAGGTTATAGTGGGTTTGGGAAATTGGAGCTTATATTTTTGTGTTTTGGTATTTGTAACCAACCTAAGTATTCATTTTGGGCTTTAAAATTGTAATGGATTTTTAAAATGTTTTAGAATTAAAAATAATTCTTGGGTAGGGAGTCGGTACGATATTATACCGGTATACCGCGGTATTTGAAAACATTTACTGTTACCGTACCGAAATAAATCGGTACGGTATGATACCGTACCGAAAATGACGGTATATCAATATTACGGTATTTTTCGGTATGATAAGTGCGATATACTGATTTTTTCGATATTTTTGCCCACCCCTATGCATATTAATGACATTTGGACTTCCCATTTGATTCTTGGGTTCACTGGCCGCCTAACCAAGAATATTTTTTTAAGGAAAATGATAAATAATATTATAGCTTAACATTTCAGCTATCAGTGATAGAAACACTACAACACATACTAAAATGTCAATGTTTTGGTACGCAGAAAACTAAAATAAATAATGGAACCAGAACCTAACCAAGAATATTGAAATATGAAGATAATTGTTTAATTTTTATATCTAGCGTTTTAAGGTAGAAAATAATGGATGCGTTACGTTATGAATGTTGAAAGAAAAAACGATTTTTAACTATTTAGAACTCAATTCCTTTGTATGTTAGTATGTGGTCATTGGCTAGGGTTAGACTGGTCCATGGTCTGTGCCCATGTGGTGGTGGCCGGTGGAATTGGAATGGGGTATGGCGGTACGTGGCTGGTTCTGGTTTATCAGTATGACGGAACATGGAAAATTGATTCGAGAATATGAGTCTGTTTGAATTAGGGGTGGGCACCATCCGGTTTTGGGACCCCATTTATGGTTCTGGCCTAGTCCTGGTCTTGTTTGATTTCTTTTTCATTTTACTATAATGAGGAACATTTTTATATATTGTAAGCATAACCATACATGCCTCATATTGACATCAACCTATTTATGACAATTAATTAATGGAATAATGACATAAATGCTATATACTATTTCAATGAACAAAAATAGGAATGTGTTAAGGAACCAGAGTGTCGCTTTTCTCTCTTGCCCTAGACATTTTAACGTGGATGGGTTCTTCTCCATGGATTACATTGGCTTGATTGGGCGTTTCTTCTTGTTATTTTGGGATCATGTTCTCACAACCGCGGTCTCTCCCTAGCAGGTCTAGGGTTTGGTTTTTCCTTAGCAGATCTAAGGTTTGGTTCTTCCGGCCGGTGAGTCTCATTCACCTGTATCCAGCACTGGGATTGGATTTGAGGCAGATTGACAAGAATCCTTGCCCAAGCTTGACGACATCGAAGCCAGAGCTCGGCGATCAATTTTATCGTGAGCAGGGTAGCAAGGGCATGTCAGCGATGAAGATGACCGCTAATGGTGGATTTGCTACGAGCGCGGGACGAGGAGAGTTGCACGGATTTCGAGCAGACCAGATGATGATTGACAATGGAGGATCAATTATAGTGGTTCCAAGGATACGACCTCCTCCTGAACCACCGCCACGGGTTGTGCGAGATGCTAGAGGCCGTGAAAGGTTTCCAATAGGTTTTCATTATTTTGTCATTTGGTTTCTTGTTATCGTCTATGTTGTTAGGCTTGTCTGTTTGTTAGCCTTGTTTTATGTCATTGAGCATGTTTGGATCTATGGGAATATGGATGGCTGTGTCAAGCCCGTTACATGGTTAGCGATTCGTGTTGCTTTTTCAGGGGTGACTGTTTCTAAGACTCATCATATGGTTTACAGTCGTAGTTGTTGGAGTCTAGTTGGTGTCAGATTTATTTTTCCTTTGATTGATGTAATGATCCTGAAACTTATGATATGAATAGATACTAGTTTTCGTTCAAAAAAATGAACAAAAATAGGACTAGTTTTGTATTTGGACAAAAAAGATCACTTGTTAATGAAGCGATTGAAATGCCCTTATGGCCCTATCCTCTTTCTCCCTCCTTTGTTCATCGTTTCTCTATTATTGACCACCCTCTTTCTCCGTTCCATCGTTCAGCCATTTTCAGTCACACCCTCTATGTACTCACCGCTTGGTGAATTAACTTTCTATAAAAGTAACATATATGTACAATGATACTGTGTAATTAGGAAAGGTAAAATCATACCATCATGTTCCACTATCATTAGGACATGAGGAGGTGGCGTAGTTAATAAGAAATGCGAGTTTATGTGATTGATACTGAATTGATGAATGTAAAAATAAAGAATGCTTTAGAATCATAAAATTATATCAAATTTGGTATGAGATAATCTTAGTGGAATAACCGGAAAAAATAAGACAACTTTAGCGGGATAGAGGTGTACTACGTATACACATATACATAGTACATGTCACATTGCGATATACTATCACATGATTCAGCCCCGGGCATTGATTTCCCTTCTTTTCGTTAGAGCCACAATAATCTTTCGTACAACCTGCACAACACTAAGCGCATATGAGAAACAATTGTGCTTTTATTTGACATTAAGTGCTTTTGCAGCACTAAGGAGTGCAGTGTTGCATACTCTGTTGTCTCATTACAAACTTTTCCAAGTAACAAATTCAATGGGAAAAATAAATCTTGGTAATAAAAAAGAGTTCAAACAGACCAATGTGATTAATGATAAATAAGCATGCCATATCCCCCCCGACCAATAAAAGTCCAACATTTACTTGATGTGTGATTTACTTCTCTTGATTAGGCATGGACAAGTTCCGGGCCGAGCCGGTCCAAACCGGGCTTTTTATTTTTGGGGGAGGCCCGGAACCGGCCTCTCTCACCCCCCAAAACACCCAGCCCAACCCGGGAAAAACAAAAAAATTGAAAAAAAGGCCTAAACCGGGCCCGGCCCGACCGGTTCCTCTTTTTGCAGACCTGGAGCCCGCTGTATCATACCCCCGGGTCGGGCCACCTAGACCGGTCCCTGACCTAGTTGGCGGGCCGACACAGTACCGGGCCGGGCCGGGCCGGGCCGGGTCATGGGCCGGTCGGCCCGGAACCGGTCCATCCCTATACTTCATAAATGGTGTCATGGTGTCTTTTATGGTAAATGTACACTCGTTTTTTTAAATATCAATGATGCTTTCCTCTTTTCAATTCCTTTATAATTACAATTATCATCAATCATTTAATTCAATTTATAACAATGAATATTACACTAATGGTTTTACTTAGATATCAAAGTAGATTCTTGATGCCATTCTAGTGAATATGTACATTGTGTTGGTTCTGAGATATATATTTGTAGCTGACAAGTTCATGAGAATGTAATAGTTGGCCGAGTGTTTTTGTCAAAGTAAAATAATGCGCACAGTGTACTTAGATATAGGGGATTCCTTCTCACAATAACTCTTCGATAATGAATTTTTTCTTAGATGCATATTTTGAACGATCGTCGGAGTGATAATAGTATACATTTTTCCACTTTAATTAATTTGCTCGAGAATCCTTCGGATATAACTACTGAACTATTACACAACCAACTCGGTGTTTAATTAAATTCAAAACAGGACCGAGTTCCCTATAATCTTTTATCCCAAGTACAACATTCAAGTATATAAAGGTTTCTTATATATCATTATGAGTACATATTATGTTAGCACCTTCAACATGCGATCGATGGTACTTC